TTTTAACAATTAATTCAGAATAAATTGCTTGTAGTTGTACTTTTAGATTGCAATTATTAAATTAGTATTTTCCATAATTTTATTTTAAATCATGTTATATTTCTGCCTATCAGCATTTTCTGCCAAACTCCCATTTTAATAAACAGTGTGACCTCATCCGTGCAGCAGCATGAACTGGACCTGGGACTGAAACCGTTCAGCGAGTCTCGGGCAGGAATAACAGGAAGCCACATGATTCAGTCAACAATAAGCTGCTCGAAATTCCTCTTCCTGTTTCTGCACAACAATCCGGCGCGCAGTGGAAGAACGGACCTCAGATCCAACCGGATCCGCTGGGAGTCGGGAGGAAAACCCAAACTGCAGCTCAGACTGGAAACGTCTCTTCAGACTCATCTGCTCTGCAGAGCGCTGCTGCTGTCCCGGGGGCGGCCTGCAGGGGGCAGTGCGGCTCACCGAACCGCACTGCCCCCGGTCCTGATCCGCCCACGGCCCACCGGGGACCGCCGGCTCTCCTACTGCGCCTTCTGCAAGACCCGGCTTAATTTAATTAACGCTGTCAACTTTAAACAAAACCACATCTGAGGCGTGGAGGGGGGGGCGCCGCCGAGGCAGGAAGTAGCCGCTCAGAGACGGGCGGCGGCGGCGGATGGTTCAGGACGGCCGCTCTGGGTCAGACGGAAACGTTTCCTCCACAACAGAAAGGAAACAGAGTCCAGAGTTAATAACCTGCTGAAATTAAAACTCATTTATTCTGGTACAAAAACAAACAACAGAAATAATAATTGGACTCCAGAGCTGTTAATGTAGAGGTGTTCAACATGAGGCGCGCGGGCCGTTTGTGGCCCCCAAACTTTTTATTTTTAACCACTTTGCCCTGATTAAAGTAACAACTTTAACATCAGAACAGAATTTTACTTGCAATAGGAAACATTAATTACATCACAAAGTTCCTGTTTTTATAACAAGCAGAGACTTTTACTGAAAAACCGACTTTGCTCCTAATTTAACTGATTATACTAATAAATAATGAACATAGTTTTAATATAAAATGACTCAAATCTTTCTCTTATAAACTGAATAAATTTGTTCAATGAAACCTGAAAATATGTGGAAACTAAATAAAATTTATTCTAAATAATTCAAAAATCAAGTATAATTGCTTGATTTTTATTTTAATAACTTTCATTGTTATTATTATTTCACATTTATTTGGCCTCTTTTGATGTATTGACTTTGGATTTAATGACAAAGTTTAATTTGATAAAGATAAAATAAAAAGAAGATGAGAGAACAAATCAGACAAAAAGCATTTGAGTCTTTTTTAAATGTAATTTTATTTATTTTCCTGATTTTGGACGTAAAGTGCAGGAGGAATTTAATTTCTCTGTTATTCATGTGGATTTTATATTTTTGTGTTTAGAACTGATTAAAAATCAACAAAGAAATAAATTGAATTTTATGAATTATGTTTCAGTGCATTGATGTCGTATTTATACAAAAACCTGCAGTGATTTTACATTATTACTCCTGCAAATGAATAAAAAGAAGGTGCAATGGGAGGCCACCTGATGCCGTTTATCAGTTGATCTGTTTTCTCTTTAATAGCTTCATTTTTACGGCTCATTTTCTGACATATTTATCTGGATTTCCTCCATCGTTCAGACATTAGCAAAGCTCAGAGGAAGAGCTGCAGACTTTATCAGCGCGGACAACAAATTAACCAAAACAATGATATCTAACGGAAAAAAAACAAAACAAAGAAACACTCTGCAACCTGCTAATGTTAGCAACTGATGCCTAATTTTCTTTTGATTACAAAGACGTCCCACGCTCTCCTCTCAAGTGACGTTTAATTGTTTCTCAAAGTAAATCATCAGCTCAGCAAACTAAATTTGAGAAACAACAATAACAAACTTGCAGCGCAGGGAGACGGGGAGAAAAAGAGAGACAGAAATGAATTAATTAAAGCAAAAAGAGCCATTTTGTCTGCGGTTGATGTGAAATAGAGACAAGAGTTTTCCCCTTAAATGGAGCATATGGGAGGGCAACACAACAATGAGGAAAACAACTTAAATAACACTTGTGTGTAATCATGCAAATGGAAGAGATGTGCAGAGAAAATGTCTGTTCCTATTCTCTTAATGCGCCGGAATAACAGAGGGGGAGGGCTTCAGCACAAAGGAAACGTTACCTAACCCATAAAACAATAAAACACGAAGCTGTAAAGTTCTGCAGCCATCAGGATGTCGAATATCACAGAGAAACCGAAAAATGAGCAAAATCAGACGACTAATACGCTCCTGTCTACATCAAATCTCCTATAAATACCTTCAAGCCAAATATAATCGTCCAAAATACGACTAAAGCTAAAGATTTAGATGAAGAAATCAACAAAATATATGTGAATTTTTCTCATGTTAATTAGAAAATAGAGGAACGGAGCTAAAGAGTCACTAAAAACATGAGAAAGAGGCTAAAGGAAACAGAGTTGGACCTAAAACACAACAAACAACTTAAATCATTTAATCAGAATATAACAATTTATTTCTACTCCAACAACTGCTAACTGTTAGCACAGGCTCAGAAACATTATGAGCAGCAATTCACAACACAGCTCATAATGTTTGTAGCTAACAGTTAGCATATTCAATAGCTAGTGGCTATGTTATCACTGCTATCAATTAGTAAAGCTGGTAGCTAACAGTAAACATTTTAATATTATGTTTTTAACAATTAGCATGGCTAGTAGCTAAAAGTTAGCTTACTTGGTAGCTAAAGTAACTGCACTAGATTGCCAACAGTGCATATATTACTAGCATTTAGTTTGATTGGTCGCAAGAAGTAAGAATGCTAGGTAGCTCAAGCTAACTATATTAGATTGCTAACAGTGAGTATATGATGTTGTAACAATAAGTTGCAATGCTAGATAGCAGTAACTTGCTCATGATAAATATGCAGTACAATGAGTACAATGAGTACAGTACATTGGCAGCTAACATTTGCTATACTTGGCTGCTAAAGCTAACTGTAATAGACTGCAAACAGTTAGCATACAAGCTTGGTGTTGATACTTACACTAACCAGCTAACATTAAGTATTCTAGATCGCTAATGGTAACTTTACTCTATTGCAAACGGTGAGTACAGCTGGTAGCAATCAGTAGCTAAACTCGACTGCTTAGACTAAAATAAATGCAGTCAAATTAAAAGATGTTAAAATACTTCTTTATGGATTTTAACGTCTTTTAACGTCTGGTATTTAGCTTCCACTAAATACCATGTTACTATATAGCGTTAGCGTCAACTAAGCACTGTATTGGTTTAGCATTTCAGTGTTAGCAGAGTTAATATTCATGATTAGAGGTAGCGTAGCTACATTTTCAGCTCGTGGCGCTGAAACTGCTGGTGAATATCACATCAATATCAGCTGTTTACTCTGTTTTATAAACAGAAATAATCGGCATTTTAAAGTTGAGTTTTGATGAATTTACTCAACAGAAAGTCACAAAGTTTTTATATTTTCTGTGACGACAGACAGAAACAAGATGTTTCTGGAAGTTTGTGTTTTAGAGGTTTGGTGTTCAGAGTTAGCAGCTCTTCTTCTTCTGCTGCTTCTTAAAAAAGAAATCACAGAAAACAAAGCGGTGATTATGAAACCAGAACCGGCGGCTCTACAGAACCAACTTAAACCCTGCAAAGCTTCGGCTTCATTTTCTGCTCCTCTGCACAGCAAAGCGGCGCCGCCTGCCAACAAACCGGCGGGAAGCCGGGCGACGGCGGCCCGGACCGATCCAGAATGCCGTCAACAGCCAAACTGTTCGCCACCAGCAACGATCAGTGGAGGAAGAACCAGGAAGAAAAACGCAGCTGCACATGCAAGAGGCCACAGATCGTCCAGAGAAACCGCAGAAACGTTTCATCAGGATTTACTGACGGAAGAACCGACCTCTGAGCCGGACGCTTCAGGTCGCACTCGTCTTTCTCTTCCTGTTCTCCGCTCTTCCCTCCTTCCTCCGCCATAGGAAGGGCAAAACGGACCCCCGCCGACACGCCGCATCGTTAACGAGCAAAGACCCGAGCGGCGAGCGATCCGAGAGGAAGGAACTGCCAACTTCATCACAAAGGCTGAGATATTAAAGAAATGATTCAGATCTAAAACCAAACAGCAGCAAAAACAGCAAACATGGAACCCAGAGGCTTCAGCAGCAGCCATGTTTAAACGCAGAGACGGCCAAACAACGCAAGACTGGAGCTGAAGAACCCAGCGAGGAGAAATGGATCAACACCAAGAAAACATAAACTACAGGAAAAAACTGCAACTGTCAGAAAAACACTGATTATAATAACTGGAAGGTGTGAAAAAAATTAAAATAGCTGTAAATGTTTTGTCTTCTG